TTAATCAAACAAAATTTACCATAATAAATCACACATAGGTCCTTCATGTGGAACTTCTTGAATTCGATCTAAAGCTCGAATATGATCTAATGTATCAATTGATGGACTAAGTCCACCATGTAAACAAAATATTTGATTATCAACAATAGCTGTTAATGGAAGATAATCAAATAAATCTGTAAAATATTTCCATACATTAGCATTGCCATATTTTCTTAAACATTCATCATAAAATCCATATACTTGTGTTATTTGTCGAGATTCATGATTACCACGAAGAATTGTTATTCGATCTTTATAACGAACTTTTAATGCAACCAATAATGTTACAGTTTCAACTGAATGATAACCACGATCAACATAATCTCCCATAAATAAATAGTTTGTATCAGGTGCATTACCACCAATTTTAAAAAGTTCCATTAAATCATGAAATTGTCCCTCAAAGACAAAAAACAATAATATTTCTTATGATGAAAATAAAAACAATAGTAACCTATTAACCCTCTGAAAATGGAATTTTTTTTTCAACAAAAAAAGTTGTCTCTACGAAATTCGATAACTTTAAAAATTAGTACCATTAAGGAAACACATGATGTGACGATGCAGTCAGTATTTTACTTTTCTCTCCCGAGCCAAAAGAACGATATTTTTGAAAGAAAAACATAATAATAAACATGCACACCAATTTAATCCTAATTGTCACAAAAAGAATTGTAGCTCAAAGAAATGGAATATATGGTTTAGAAGGGCGAAAAAACTTCTGGTCATTGTGACCTCCATATCAAGTTTTATTTATAAACAGATATATATTATTTTGAGTTATGACGAAAAAAACGAGAAAATCGATATAGTTTGTTCGCTGATATGTAGCAACTTGATTGAAAGTACGACAATGGCTTCTTTGTTTATAGCAAAAAGTAATTCAAAGGCTTCCATAATATTGCTGTATCTCAACTAGAAAAAAACTCGTAGAAACCTCGAAGTTGTCTTTCATTGTAGAAAAACAAAATAAAATTCAAAATTGAAATATTTACATGTACATCACCACAAACAGTCACCGGACATTTGACTTCTTGTACATTTGATTCTTTTGATAAAATATCTTTAGCCTGTTCACATAAATATTTAATATGATTTTCTTGTAATGGTTTACATTCTTTTAATTGTTCAATCCATGTATCAAGTTCTTTCGATGAATATTGTCCAGATTTATTTTCTTCGCCTATTCTTGATTGTACAGTCATTTGAAATATATATATTGTTTAATAAAAAAACATTTTAAGAATGAAGAAAAAAAGAATTGTTGATCTAAAATTATAATCAAAAAATTTTTTGTTTTTTATTTTTATTATCATTATACATATATATATTAATCAATCTCAATATCAAAAAATATTTTTCTCACTCTTCACTAACAGCTCCGATTTCCATAGTAAAAGAAAAACCGATATTATTGCATCTCTTATACATTCCTTCTTTAGACATACCGTGACTTATAACGATTAATATCTTTTTTCTTATCACGAGATTTACTACACCACAGACACAAAAAAAAAAGGAGAAGCATAACACCATGTTCAAATTTAAATCTCTCTGGAATACTACTAAAAGCTTTTTCTAGGACAAAATGTAAGCATCTGATAGGTTCTTTTCATTTCAACTCAGTCAAGTAGTTTACTGGATCTCATTCACTACTTGCATTACAGGAAAGAAAAAAAAAACATCGCTAAGAATTTACAGAAAGAAAGAAAAAAGAGAATTTGTCAGGTTTATTTATAAGGGCATGTACGAAAAAAAATAATAAGAGAAGAGAAAAAAGAAAAGCGATTCACTGAAACTGTCATTCAACTAACAAACGTAAAACTACACATGTATTTAAAAGAAAAATATGTATAGCAACGAAAGCAAGTTAAACAAAGGGAAAAATTGTTCATCATTTTGTTTTTTTTCTTTGTTTCAGAGACAGACATTGAGAAGACAAAAATCATAATAATAAAATAACAACACACAACGATTATATCTCAAGATGAATAAATAGCATTCAAAATGCGCATTGCTTAACTGAACAGAAAAAAGAAAGTTAACTTTTTGCCTAAGAATTTTTTCTTTCGTTTTCAACATTTCATCCTAAAGAAAGAAAGAAAGAAAAAAAAAGAGATTTTATAAAAAAAAAAAAAAAAAGACAACGCCGAGAAAACAAACATGTGTACAATTGTCTAAGAACAAAGAAAAAGAATAGGACCGAGAGACAGATGAATTTTTTTCTTTCGTTATATTCAAATATAAATTAAAGGAAATAGTCTGGCGTTTTACGTGTTACATGTGGTTCACCACGACGTGGAGCTGGATCAAATTGAAGAAATGAATATTTTAATGAATCATCAAGTTCCATAATCGCTGCTTGATTACCACAACGATAACAATAGTTTGGTGCTGAAAATATTGTTACGACATTTTTATCATGACACCAATTGTAACCTACGAAATTTTTTTTTAAAACTTTTATGATAAAAAATAACAAAATTTTTTCCCAACCTTCCATAACCAATTGATGAGCACGAGATACAAGTTGAAGACCATTGGTATGATTAAATGTTTCCGATATATCTTGTCCAAATGTATAACCAGCTCCTCGAGGTGAAATACCCCAACCACCACGATCGTCTGGATCCGACCTTAAAACAAATGTCAATAAAAGAGTCAGTATAAGTATACGTAGTCCTTATGTGGATTCGATCCCGTCCCACTGCAAAAAACGTCCGACTTTTTTCCAATTTATTACGGCTTCGTTGTAACTTTGGAAATAAATCGGATTTTAAAACAGATGCACAATTTAGCTGCGAGATGAATAGGACTGAGGAAGGGCCTCAGGGTGGAATAATGAATGTAAGTACTTTCTCTTGATGTTCTAGCCCCTGCCACTCTTGAAAAATATGCAAAAACGTATTTCCAAAGAATAGTTTAACTGAGTAGCTTCTATGATTGACACTAGAAAAATAAAACGAATCAATTAAAAATTCGTCTTTGATTTTGTTTAATAACCTTATGTACTGGGCAATTTCTTATTCTTATGATGAACTTTTAAGTTTTTTTTTTTTTCGTTAAATTATGTAAGTGAGACTATTATTAGAATAACAAATCTTGTTAATCAAACAAAATTTACCATAATAAATCACACATAGGTCCTTCAT